TAATTATTTACCAAGAGCTCCACCCCACCTGCAGATGCTATTGAATCAGGGGTTAGGATTTGTGGAAACAGAAACATTCAGTATATGCCAGGCAAGTAGTAAATAAGGAGACAACTATCCACCCATATCTAGGAGGAATTAAAACGTGTTATTTCTATCATGTTGGATCAGAGGGCATCACTGGGCTCAGATCCTTAGGCCCTTCTTGCTGTTAAAAGCACAGCTCTTCCTTGAAGCCATCCTTAACAGCTGTTATTGGAACAGTTTCAACAGCCACCAGCTTCCCAAGAGAGCTTTTTCCTGACCACTTACAGTCCAGAGAGTCTGAATCACCATTCTAACACTTGATTATTGGTCTCATCTTATGCTTTAGCTGTTTCATATGTTAGTTATGTTTTCCCCAACAAAATTAGCTCCTATTTTTTCTTGTTCTTCAGTTGTTAGACCAATAAATTCTTGTTGGCTTATTGATTGTACTGATAAAAAACGCACAAAGCATTAAAAATGCAGGAAGAAAGCTATTAGGGACTTAGAGGCAGAGTGTTATATAGAACAATCCAAGATTGCAGTCTGTGAGGCAGAGCCCCAACATAGAATCTATTTGGTCTCTTACCAGCTCCACTCATGAATCTATTTTGAGATTTTTTTCAAGTGAATTGAAGTCTGTGCCATTACTGTCATTCCTCCAATGAACTAGCATGCTGGGGGTGGGGCCTGGAGCATGATTCACTAGCCTAGCCTGGCACTGCTGGATACTGCTGGTCAGTACCAGCATGTGGCTCATGGGAACTTTTGGGAATCCAGTATACTAGCCCAGCTAGGGAAGCCTGAGGTCAGCCAAGGAGTTGGGAGAGGATAGTTTTGAAATGATAATACCCTTCCAGGTATCAGAAGTGAATGCTTACTGGGCACATGGCTTATTTATAAAGTAAGAACAGGGACTTCTAACCCCTGGAAGGAGGAAGGCTCCTAGTACTTGGAAGACAAGAGACTTCTGTTTCCACGAGAGTATGGATATCATTATTCCAAGAAATGATATAGATGGAAAGTAGGAGGGAGTTTAAAAATCAATTAGTTTGTATTTATAGATGACAGATCAAATATTTCTTTAAGACAAATTAGTGAAGTTTGAAGTTACCTTGACTTTGGGGAATTACTACTAAATTTTCGTGTAGCTTATTCCTGTCACAGAAGGCTTCCAGCTTATTGCAGTCATGGAACTAAAATAAGGTCCAAATGTTTGTCAAGTGGAAAGTACAAACTATTTATAGTGAACAACCTATTTTGATGCATGTATATGTTGTAGAATGGTTTAAATGAAGCTCCTTAACATATATAGCATTTCATATACTTACCTTTTCTTGTGGAGAGAACATTTAAAATCTAATTTGAACCATTTTCAAGTATTGCTATTAATTATAGTCACTATTATGTGTGGTGACTCTTGAATCTATTCTTCCTTACTGAAATTATGTGGCCTTTGACCAATATATTCCCAACCTCTCCGCATTGAGGGAGTTTTTTTTTTTTTTACATGTCTTTTTCTGTATTGTGTAGGGTAGTCTTGAACTCATGAACACGAGTAGTTCTCCTGGTTTAGCTTCTTGAGTAACTGGGTCTACCGGCATACAGTACTGTTCCTTGCTTAGGATGCTGTTTTTATTTAAATATATTTAGTTAGGAGAGAGACACCGTAGGTTGTAGTTCACAATAGTCTTAGTTTTGACACTTTGTCTTACTTGGAGTAGAAAGGCTTGCTGGTCCCCCATCTGCCTTTCTAACCACGCCCTCTTACTAGGGACAACTGACTGCCAGTAGCCTCGTCTCTGGAAGAGAATAATACAATGAGCCTGTTGTGTGTTTGTTGACATACAGAGTGTATTGTTTTAGCAGGTGCAGAAGATAGTCTGTATGGAGACTACAGAGATCTTTATCCTTGATGGTGTAGTATAATTTAGATCGAAGTTGTCTTTTGTCTAGTCTACAGCAGGTGTTGGAATTGGACTTAGTTAAGCTTGAGTCCTTCTTTGCAAGGGCTAGCATTGATCTGATATTTTCCTTTGGTTGTTGTTTTACTAGCTCCTTATCTTTTCTCTTAAATAAAAAGAAATGGGGCTGATGAGATGGCTCAGTAATTAAAATTACTTTCTGCTCTTGCAGAGGACCTGGGTTTGGTTCCCAGTACCCATATGGTGGCTCACAAATATCTATAACTCTGGTTCCAGGGATCCAACACCCTCCGAGGGAGCCAAACATACACACAGTGCATATATCTACATGCATGCAAAACACACATGAAATACAAATAAATAAATCTTAAAAGAAACAACCTCCTTTTTGGTAAATAACCAGATAGTTCTGCTGTGTTAAAACTTTAAAAATATAATTACATCATTTTCCCCTTCCCTTTCTTCCTTCCAGCTCCTTCCATGAGCCATCCCCTTGCTCCCTCTAGAAGTTATGGCCTCTTTTTATTTAGTTATCATACACATACACAACACACACACACACACACACACACACACACACACACACACACACACCTTGTTCAGTCTGTTTAGTGTTGGATAGAGGGCTCTCTACCCTGGGCAATTAGAGGAGTCTTTCCTGGGGTGGGGGCTATTTCTCCTGCTGTTAGCATTCCTTAGTTGCCTCTAGTTCTTTGTTTATGGGTGGGGTCCCACGAGATTTCCCTGTTCCGTGTTGATTGGAGACTAGACTCAGAGCAGTTAGTTAGTCCTCGAGACATTGCTTGTTTTGAAGAGAGATCTTACAGATGATCAATGACTAGGAAGAAATCTGTTTTCTGTTAGTGTAGTGATTGCACTTGACTTGCCCATGATATATGGCTTCATGATTCTCCTGTGTCCTTTGGGTCTTCGGCAAGTGGGGATGGCTTTGTGTCTGAATTTACTTTTTGATTATGTGTTCCTGCGCAGGAAGGAATGGAAAAGAAAGTAGTCTACAAACTAGTAATATGCATGACCCTTAGTTAACTGACCCATTTGCCAGGTCATTCAGTTCTTGATGTGCTCCCCCTATGCCCTTTTGACTTTTAGAAGAAGGAAGCAAATTGTTAGTAAGAAAACTAAGACCGCAAATTATTTTTTAAAATGAACAAAAGGCCACTGAAATCATTTTGCAGGTTCAATACATATGCTCCTTTTCGTTATAAACACTAGTCTAATATAACAGTGAGTTCACCCCCACCCCCACATCCTGTACATTTTTATTGTGGAGGACAGGCGGGGGAGCATCTCATGGGGGTTGTTCTGTGACTAGAGCAAACATACAGCCTGGAGTTAAACATTTGCCCTGAATAGACTGCAGTTTGCTTACTCTCCATGCTGATGAAGTAAGCTTTTCCCTCAGCTTACTTTCTCTGCTCTCCCTCTGCTCCTTGCTCATCCACTTATAGTTTGCCTCCAGTGATGATCTCTGTTTTCAAGGAGAAATGTGCCTCCGGAGGAGGTGGATAAAAATAGGTCAGTGATAATGCTCATCCCGTATTCTCATTCATTCGGTTTGATAGTCAGTTCAGATCAACAAGTATTTATTGATGGCTTCTTTGTTCCCTTACTCGAATGAAGATCTAGCAAATATACAATCAGATGCTAATGTTAATAGAGGTCATTTATTTAGTGTCTATTATGCATCAAGTATCCTTTAAGCACTTTTTATACTAGTGCATCTGATCTACACAGTGACCCTACAAAATACTACTACTATCCCCATTTTACAGACCAGGAGACTGATATCAGCTATCACCCAGTTGGGAGTTGGTAGAATCAGAATTTGAATCCAAGGTCCTATGAGATGAGTTTATTGCTCTTAAGAAGTCAAGTTGAGCTGGGCATTGGTGGCGCATGCCTTTAATCCCAGCACTCGGGAGGCAGAGGCAGGTGGATCTCTGTGAGTTTGAGACCAGCCTGGTCTACAAGAGCTAATTCCAGGACAGCCTCCAAAGCCACAGAGAAACGCTGTCTTGGAAAAAAAAAACAACAAAAAACAAAAAAAGAAGTCAAGTTGAGAGAGGTGAAATCAACATACTGATAAAGAGCTAAGAAATAATGCAGGGCTCTCACAGTAAAGCTACTTCCCATAGGCCTTTAGGAGGAGATGAGACTTCATTAAGTTCCAAATTCTTCATCTATCAATAAATGTAAGGGGTCCACTACCTTGTAGCTTTGGTGAGAGAAATGGATGAAATAGGGTATCTAAAGTAGTTAGCACAGTGTCTGGTATATGGTAAATTGTAGTTGCCATGGTGGCAGTGATATTTCTAGGACCTGAAAGGTAAGTTCATTTGGGATATGGAGAGGAAAAGGTACATTATGAGGAAAGACAGAAATGGACATGGTGTTGGGAAAGTAGTGTTAAGGAGTTTTCTTATTCCATTGCTGATGGTCATTCATCACCCACTAGCTGAGCTATTTGAGGAGACAAAAGGAATGAATGTTAGAGTCAATCAGCAGCCTGGAAGCTTTTCACTGGTCATAAAGCATGCTGAGATATCCTCTGTGTGCCACTGTGAGCCTGCTTCCTGATTGATCCTATTTTTTTCTCCTCCTCATCAAGCTCAATCCTAAGGCCAGATGAGTGGATATGAAAAGCTCTGTAATATCCCCAGAGCAAAATACCCTATGGTGCTTACAAGTCCAGGCTCTTACTTCTCTGTCCACAGCCAGTGTCAGTCTTTCTTGGTGCAGACAAAATGTTCCTAGAGGCCTGATAAGAAGCGTGAGTTATAAGAGGCATAGGTTATCTTAGGCATACGGGAGTTCCTTCCCTTGAGATTGTTTTTATATGTCATAGGTAACCTCAATCTATTAAGTATGTATTTAGGTTACATTGTGTTCAGAATCACATCTTAAGTGTTTGGAATATTCAGAGGAAGTAAATAACATAGTCTTTGCCCTGGAGATCTGCTGTTCTTGTCGTGGAGACCAGATTGACATGGTTGCAATATAATTCAATGTTAAGTTGCTTTCTTTCTTCAGGTGTCGCTACCTGGCTGTTCAGCTGTCTCCTGCCATTCCTGTGTTTGCTGCCATGCTCTTTCTTTTCTCTATGGCCACACTGTTGAGGACCAGTTTCAGTGACCCTGGAGTGATTCCTAGAGCACTACCAGATGAAGCAGCTTTCATAGAAATGGAAATAGGTGAGTCTTGCAACCAGTTGGCAAGTTGTTATACAGTGGGTGGCCCTGTTGGGTAGGGGAGTGGAATCATCATAGTCACAGATTCAGACTACTATTCCAGCTTTTTTCTGTCTGAGCTCCTAAATGACCACCTATGAATTCAGTAAGACAGGTGCAGTAAGCCTATAAAGCCACAAGCTTTCTTTTTTCAGAATGTTGGGTTGCATTGAAAAAAGTGTTTGTTGCCAAGGTCTGGCTGAATTGTTGCCAAAGAGAGTCTTTTCCATTTTTGGAGGAGGCCAGCAGACATCTGTTTGTTGAGGGAAGCTGCATACCGTCTTTCCATAAAATGTTCTTTTTTTGCATATACATATAACTTTGGATGTAATGTCATAGATCTTCTGAAGTTCATTCTTGGGTCAGTGACCAAAAATTCCTACTTTAGAGGGTCACATGAAGTGAGAAGGGGAAACCATGGCGCCAGGAACCACTCAGAGAAGTAAAGGAAGCAATTTCAGGCTCAGAATTTACAGTTTGTAACCCTGAGACTGAAATGTAACACTACTTGGAGCCATGAGGGCTTTGTGAATTGAAACAGAACATCCCAGGGCTAGAAAGGGGGTGTCCTGGGAATTCCCACTGTGAAAAAGTCAATGATGCCAGTACTAGGAGCAAGTGGGAACCCAGCAGCTCAGCAGCAGTGGTTATGTGTTTCTCAATTTTGTTTTGACAGTAGCTTGAGTCCACTTAAAAACAAGGTAAGAACAGAAAAAAGAGAGCCAGGACTTGTTTTGGCACCTCTTTGCCCCTGGGTTCTGGGGGTTGAACCCAGTCCACTGGGTGTGCTAGGCACATGCCCTACTACTGAGCTGTATCCACTGCTCTGTGACCTAGAACTTGTAGTGCTAAATATCCATGTTAGTAGAGTGCCAGCCTGTGGCTAGCCTTTAGTTCTTTGATGTTGCTTTGAAGGGCACCACACTTTTGTGTTTGTTTATTTGAACTGTTTTCCCCCTACTTTTATAGTATATTTATTTTTGGAAGAACTCAGCCAGTTTTAGTTGAGCCAAAGACAAAATGGTTTGCACATGTCTGAGCTAAAAGTGCATGGGGTGAGGTGAGGGTGAGAATAGGAAGCATAAAGCAGAGACAGGTTTTGGTGACAGAGGCAGAATCTACACGTGAATGAGAAAGGAGCTCTGAAAGATGAGTCCATCTTTCAGAGGAAAAAGTAGTACTCGCAACTAACCTTTATCTGGCTGTGAAGTACCCCATGTTCTACCCCCATGCCTCCCCTGGATTCCGCCATGAACTCTGTGCCCCCCACACCCTACTGTAAAGCATATGTCCATAAGAATTAAAATGGCATGCTGGCACTTACATCATCATGAATAGCTAGCCTCATCTTCTTAGGACTTGTAGCACACTGTTATTGTTTGATTTCACAGCACCTACCCCACTCTGCCAAAAAGGTAAAATGTTCCATATGGCAGATATTTTTAAAATCAAAGTGAATTGACAAATATTCTGTCTTTAGAACTATACTTTGTGGCAAAGGTGCAATGAGCCTGGGACTCTCATATGCTGTGGCTTAATAGGCATGCAAAGTCATACAGCCTGTCTGGGAAGCAGTTTGGCAATAAGCAAAGTGGCTCTAAGGGTCCATACCCTCTGTCCTGGTAATTAAGGGCTCCTTAAGAGTTTGGTTAAGGGAAATAGCAGATATTTAAAACAACCTACCGTAGGAATATTTTAGTGTATTTTTGTTTCTTTTTCCTCTTTAGTATTGATATAGTTGTCTTAATACTTTTGGTTTACCCCCTTTTATAAAATTTGTAAAAAATTTATAAATAAATAAATTTATAATATAAATTTTATAAATAAATTTATAAAATATTTCCATTGGTGTTATGCCTGCCTGTGTGAGGTATGTCTGTGTGAGGGTGTCAGATCTTAGAGTTACAGACAGTTGTGAGCTGCCATGTGGATGCTGGGAATTGAACCCTAGTCCTCGGGAAGAGCAGTCATTGCTCTTAATCTCTGAGCCATTATTTGCAGCCCCAGTTTACCTCCTCTTTAAAAATGATTTATTTTAACATGTTTTTATTATTTTTATTCTACTTATTTATTTGGAGGTAGGAACTGCATGCATCATGGTGTGTGCGTGTGTATAGGTCAGAAGACAACTTTCAGGAGTCAGTTCTATCTTTCACTAGGACCCAAACTCAGGCCCTTAGGCTTGGCTGCAAATGCCTTAGCTACTGAGAAGTCTCACTATAAAGATGTGTTTATTTTTATTTTGTGTGTATAGATGTTTTGCCTCCATGTATGTAAGCACACCGTGTGCATGCAGTGCCCATAGAGGCAGAAGAGGACATTGGATCCCTGGAACTGGAGTTTCAAGCACTTGTGAGCTTCCATTTCAGTGCTGGGAACTGAAGCCGAGCCCTCTGCAAGAACAGCAAATGTTCTTAACTGAGGAGCCATCTCTCCAGGCCCTTGAATTATTATTTGAATTGGCATATATTAATTCTATATGGCACTAGGTTTCACAAAGACACTTTCATATCAGTATATAATGTCCTTTGAACATGTTCTTCCCCTCTAGACATTGTTGTTTTGTTTTGTTTTGAGATAGGGTCTCATGTAGCCCAGGCTGGTCGCTAATGTGCTGTGTACCCAAGTCTTTGCTTAAATTCCTGATCCTACTGCTTATACCTTCTGCATGCTTTTGATAGCAGGCGTGTGCTGCTATGCTGGCAGTTTTCACTATTAAAAAGGACACTATTAAAATACTCCGGCATAACCATGTTTGTAGTTCTCTTTAAATTTTTCTAGTAGAATTACTAGGCTAAGAGCATATACATTTAAAATTATGGTAGCTGCTAATGTATGGCTCCCTGGTAAGATAGAAGTTTGAACTTTTCTGGGTACACTGGGTATTTATCTTCATTTTAATATTTGTTAATTATAATATGTAGAAATACTATTGTGCTTTAATAGTTTTTTGACCTAGGGTCTCACTAGATAGCTTTGGCTGGCCTGGAACTTGTTATATACAACAAGTTGGCCTTGGAGATCTGCTTTCCTCTGCCTCCTGAGTGCTAGGATTCAAGCCATGTGACCAACATGCCAGACTATATTTTAATTTCATCTCTCTGATGATTAGTCAAGTTAGATGCTTTCATTTCAGATTCTTGGCATTTTTCTTTTTATATTTGTAATCAACCTGCCTCCTAGACCCGATATCCTTAAAGTAACACCTTTTACATGTACATCACATTTAAAAATTATATGAAATTTAGTATACATGTCGGGGAAGTGGTGTGATGTTGAAATTCCAGTCTAGTAGCACTTGCCTGGAAAAGAGGAGCCTTTACCTTTCATGGTCTCTATAACTTTTGGGCAGGTGCTGAGACTTTAGACTCAAACAAAGGATAGCACTGAATTAAAGCTGTTTTACTGACTTACAGAAGCCACCAATGGTGCGGTGCCACAGGGCCAGCGACCACCTCCTCGTATTAAGAATTTCCAGATAAACAACCAGATTGTGAAACTGAAATACTGTTACACATGCAAGATCTTCCGGCCTCCCCGGGCCTCCCATTGTAGCATCTGTGACAACTGTGTGGGTGAGTAAAACCAAGGAGATGAGGGATAGGCTCAGTTGAACAAGGGGTCTCACAGGGAGTGACCAATAGTTCTTGGGGAAATTCAATGGGGATGAGAAGACCGATTCAGATGAGAAGCCAGGTAGGTTTAGAAAGGAGAAAAGCTCCTGCACAACAGCAAACAGCAGCTCAGCGTACTTACGGAGATCTGGTCTAAAAAATCTCTTTGATAAGTGGGAAATGATACCTGTTTGAGAAATCTCAGTTTTTCTCTACTGGATCCATTTCAGGTGTGGCTCACTTTACAAAGAAGGAGAATATTGTTGTTCACTAGAGGGAAATATTGAGGAAGGCCTATGGCAAAAGTGGTCTTCTTTGGGTTCCCACTATGTACTAGTCCCTGGGCTGAGTGCTTGCCCTTTCTCTCATTTAAGGCTCATAGCAACCCCTAGGAAACAGTATCATCCCCATTTTGCTGATGTTGACAGTGGAGTGCCTTTGTATAAGTTTGTGTAATTGGCATGAGATGATGTTTTATCAGGTCTGATGTCCAAGCCTTCATCTTTTTTTCTTATGTCTTTGCTCTTACTTATGTGTGTAGGTGTGCAGAATACAAAGTCTATGTTGCCATCTGCATATATGAGTCTTAGACATACCTCCTACTTTGTGATGAACTCTGGGGAAGATCATACACAGACAATAAAAGTGCTCGTTGATAGATACATACGTCACACTGCTGTTGTCACTGATGTGATTCTAACATCCTGTATGCTCTATACCATGTCCGAGAACCTTGCTTTCTTCCACTAGCCAATTCTTCTGGCACAGTTTGGGGAGATATATATTCTTTTATATGGTGCAAATTGATATGTGAGTTAGATTTTATAAATCAAGACTAATTTTAAATGGATTACAAACAATATTTAAAGTGTGATATGAAGGTTTCATGACGAATTCCCTATCTTTATTAATGTTCTTAAATATAAGGAACTCATACAGCCAGTGTGGTGGCGCATGACTTTAATCCCAGCACTCAGGATGCAGAGGTGGGTGGATCTCTGTGAGTTTGAGGCCAGCCTGGTCTACAAATCGAGTTCTAGGACAGCTAGGACTACATAGAGAAGCCATGTTTAAAAAAAAAAAAACAGAAGAAAGAAAGAAAGGAAGGAAGGAAGGAAGGAAGGAAGGAAGGAAGGAAGGAAAAAAGAACTCATACAAGGGGTTGGAAATGGCTTAGTGGTTAATAGCCCTGGCTGCTTTTCCAGAGGACCCAGGTTCAATTCCCAGCACCCACATGATGGCATCTGTAACTTTAGTTCCAGGGCATCTGACACCCTCTTCTAGTTTCTGTGGGTACTAGGCATGCTTGTGCTGCAGACATGCATGTAGGCAAACACAGTGAAAAAAATTAAAAAAATCATACAAGTTGATATTTTGAGACAGGGTCTCTCTGTATCCTGAAGCTTTCTATGTAGACCAGGCTGTGCTAGAACTCACATAGATCTGCATGTCTCGTCCTCCTAGGCCAGCCTGGTCTACAGAGCTAGTTCCAGGACAGCTAGGGCTGTTGCACAGAGAAACCCTGTCTCAAGAAAACCAAAAAAAAAAAAAAGCAATGATGTTCTATGAGAAATATGGACAGTTCATAAAACAGGAAATTTAATTATCTAACTGATGTGAGACTATGTCCACCTCTACTAATAACCAGAGAGATAAGTCTTAAAACTGGATTCTTTTCTTGACAATTCCATGATATGGCCTTCCCCAGAATCCCCAACACACGCCTCTCTCAAATTCATGCCCTCCTCTTTTCAGTCTTTAAAACCCACTGAATCCAATTAGTGCTGCCCGCATGTTCGTAGGTATGGGGCCATTTATTATCTGGCAACCGTACCGCTAAAGGAAAAAACAACTCTCGGCCGCAGCAGCCGTCAATTGCTGATAGCTCCTCCACTCAAGGTGGAGCCTCCTGAGCCCCTCCTTCATCCATGCTGGAATTGACTGGCTTGATCTGGTGCAGGTAACCATAGAAGCTGCCTGTTCATGAGTACAGTGGCTCCTGTCATGTTCCGAAAACAGCATTCCAAATCCTCCGGCTCTTGTACTCTTCTCTTTCCTCTTTCTCCCTCTTCCATGATGTTCTCTGAGCCTTAGTGGGCTCAATATAGTTGTCTCATGTATGACGAGGCTCAATAGTCACTTATTCTGAGCACTTTGATCAGTTCTGAGTGTCTGCATTGACCCCTGCCACGTGGTGGTGGGGGGATGGGGGCTGGAGGAAGCTTCTCTAACCAAGTTGAGAGCAACACTAAAAATATGGTAAAACATGGTTCTGTATAAATTTACATTTTTCTCAAGGTTTTTATAGGGCAAGTTTGCTTAAAATGAATCTATATAATTCTAGGCATGATGCTTACTGCTTGAGCATGACAGTTTTCTTTATACATTTCTTCCTTTTGAAAAAAAACATATATTGTAACCCTTTAGTAAGGTTGTGTGCTACTCTTATAGTCTTAGTTTTGATTAGCACACAGCTCACTGTTCTTCACAAACTAGCCCCCCCTTGCCCTTAGAGGTGTTTATGTGTATGTTCATGTGTATGTGGCTGCACATGCCTATGAGCCAGAGGACAACTTTGAGTGGCATTCCTCCCTGTTTTAGAGACAGGCTCTCTGTCTGGGATCTATGACTTACCAAATTAGGTTATCCTGGCTGGCCAGTCAGACCAGGGATCCCCTGGTTTCTGCCTCTCTAGTGCTGGGGTTATAAGTATGTGCTACCATGCCTTATATTTTTTATATGAGTCCAGAGGGTGTCTAACTCTGGTCCTCATTCTTACACAGCAAACACTTGATGACCAAGCTATCACTCCAGCATCCTTTAACTTATTTTTATTTTATCTTACTTGTATGGATGTTTTGCCTGTACATATGTATTTCTGTGCATCACTTGTGTGCCTAGTACTCACAGGCCGGAAGAGGGTGTTGCATCCCCTAGAACTGGAGTTCTAGATAGTTGTGAGATGTTATTATAGGTGCTGGGAATTGAACTCAGGTTCTTTGGAAGAGCAGAAGGTGCTCTTAATCACTGAGTCATCTTTCCAGCCCTCAACTCCTTTGTTAAGTAATATGCAACGTGTTAGAAAATATGGGTGGTCTAAAAATATAAATAAAACTCAATTTTAAATTCAGACTCTATTTTGCTGTATTTTGTTCTAATTTCTTTGTTTATAAAACAAGACATTATATAATATGAGATTTTTAATTTCTGAATTAAATTTTTATGGTATTGGGTATTGAACCAGGTCCTCACACATGCTAAGCTAGAAGTTTACCACAGGTTACATCTCCTGTCTTTATTTCTTTTAGTTTTTGTACAAAATAATAGGTTTCATTATGACATTTTATTGTACTTTGCTCATATTTGCCCCAATAACTCCTGTTCAACTTCTTTGTTTCCCCATTAGTTATCTTTCTGCTTCTCTCTCTCTCTCTCTCTCTCATACACACACACACACACACACACACACACACACACACACACACACACACACACACACACACACACACACCCCAGGAATTGATTCTGCATATAAGAGAAAATATGTAGCATTTACCTGACTCTGGCTTATTTTATTTAGCATAATCATCTCCAGTTCCATCTATTTTCCTGAAAATGACTTAATTTCATTCTTCTTTACAGCTGAATAAAAATTGATTGTTGTATGTATAGCATATTTATTCATCTGTTGATGGGCTTGTAGACTGGTTCCCTTATCTTGGCTATTGTGAGTACTGCAGCAGTAAACACTGATGTGCAAGTATCTCCGTGAAGGTTAGATTACATTCTTTTGGGTATATACCCAGGGCTATCGCTGACTATTATGGTAGTTTTATTTTTAGTTTTCTGAGGAATCGCTACACTAATTCTCTGGCTGCTCCACATATAACAGGTTTATTTTATTTTATTTTGGGGTTGTGTGTATGTTCCTGTGTGTGAGTATGAGTGAGTGTGTGTGTGTGTGTGTGTGTGTGTGTGTGTGTGTGTGTGTGAGTTTGGAGTATAAAGGTCAACATTGGATGTCTTCCTCAATTGCTTTCCCCACTTTAGTTTAAATTTAATTGTGTGTGTGTGTGTGTGTGTGTGTGTGTGTGTGTGTGTGTGCACTTTTTTTGTGTTTATGTTCCAGAGTGCAATTTAATGTGGTTCCTTCCACCTTTAAGTCATTCTCATGAATTCACCTGAGGTTGATTTGTTTACAAAGCAAATGCTTTTGTCATCTGAACCATCTTGATGATTCCTCCCCCAACTTAGTTTTTGAGACAGGATGTCTCATTGAACTTGGAGATCATAGAGTCTGCTAAACTCACTTGCCAAGGAGCCCCAGGGATTTTCCTGTCTCTGCCTCTAGGATTACAAGCATGTCTCCACCATGCCTAATGTTTTGTTTTCGATTTATTGTATTTTATGTGTATGAGCTTTTTCCTGCATGTATGTGCACCATGTGCATACTTGGTGCTCGTGGAAGTTAGAAGAAAACATTGGATCTCCTTAGATGTGACGTTAAAGATGGTTGTGAGCCACCATATGGGTCATAGGAACTGAACCCAGGTCCTCTGCAAGAACAAATGCTAGTAATCACTGAGCCTTCTCTCTGTGCCATGTCTAGTGTTTTGTGTGAGTGCCAGGGACCCAAGATCAGGTCCTCATGCTTTACAGACTGAGCCATCTCCTCAACTTGTTAAGAGTTTTTTTTTTTACATATTTAATTTTTTCATATTTATTTATTTATTTTTAGTTTTTTGAGACAGGGTTTCTCTGTGTAGCTTTGGAGCCTATCCTGGCACTCGCTCTGGAGACCAGGCTAGCCTCGAACTCACAGAGATCCGCCTGCCTCTGCCTCCCGAGTGCTGGGATTAAAGGCGTGTGCCACCAACGCCCGGCTCATATTTAATTTTTAATGTATATTAAATGTTATATATGCACCTGCCTGAATGTTATATATGCATCATGTGTGTGTCTGTTGCCTGCAGAAGTCAGAAGAGAGTGTGAGTGTCAGATTTGCACCTAAAGTGACTGATGGTTGTGAGCCACCATGTAGGTGCTGGGAATTGAACCCTGTCCTCTGTAAGAGCAGCAAGTGCTCTTACTCACTAAGCCATCTCTAACTCCTGATAAGAGTTTTTGATCTTGAACTTGTCTTTTGTTGTTTTTGTTTTGTTTTAGACAGTCTCACCATGTAGCCCTGTCTGTAGACCAGGCTGTCCTAAACTCACCTGTCTGTCTCCCAAGAGTGGGATTAAGGTGAAGTTCAGCTTTGCTTTTGTTTCTTAAAATTATATACTGAGCTCTTTTTCTACATCTTTAAAATTATTTTAGTGGCTTAATCTATCATAAGGTTATATTCTAGTTTATTTAGTCAGTCTCCTATCATGGATGTTATTATCTCTTATTATATTATTATATTAAGTATTATTATAATACTTAAAAGTTATTGAGCTCAGTTAGGTGTGGTTGTATATACTTGTAACTTTAGCACTTGGGAGGTTAAGGCAGGAAGATTGTGTGTTCAAGGCCAACTTGGGCTACATAGCAAGACTATGTTTCAAAATAATATATGCTTAAGAATGTGGAGAAGGTAGGACCTCCTTCCATTTCTAGTAGGAATGTAATATTGTGTATCCAATGTGGAAAACATTTGTCTAGATCCTCAAAAGTTAACATGGTGTTAGTGTATGATCCAGCAAGTGCATTTCTGACTATATACCTGAATGTTTTTTTGGGTTATAACAATAAAATCCTATAGACTTGATTGCTTAATCAACAGAATATATGTATTTCATGGTTCTGGAGACTAGCAAATCCAAGATCAAGGTGGCAAAGGGTTAGTCTCTGGGAAGGCCTCTTTCTATGACTTCTTCCTTGCTTGTTCTCACCCCCCCTCCCGGTGTTCACACATTTTTAGTGTCTCATCCTCTTCTTAAGGCACAAATCCTATTGAATTAAGGCCCCACTGTTTAACTACATAGTGAGATAGTGCCTTATAAAACAAAAACAAAGCTGGGTGGTGGCGCATGCCTTTAGTCCTGGCTCTCAAGAGGCAGAGGCAGGCAGACCACTGAGTCTACAGAGAGAACTCCAGGACTGCCAGGGCTACATAGAGAAACCCCGTCTTGAAAAAACAGCAAAAAACAAAACAAAACAAAAGAGAACTTCTCCCTTAATAAATTTCTGGTAGCCTTCTGTACTTTTCTTGAGGAAGTGGGTTTTTTTTTTTTATTATTGATTTAGAAAGATTTCTCACAAAGTCAGGCATGTATGTTTTTTCTCTTTAGTTTTCCCTTTTATTATTTGTAGAGACAGAGAATGGTGTGTGTGTGTGGCTTGTGTGCCGTGCCATGTGTGTAAAGGTCAGAGGACAACACTGTGGATCGATTCACTCCTACCTTTATGTGAGCTCTGGGGAACCAACTCAGGTGCCTTTTGCCACTGAGCCATCTTACTCGCTCTCTAGTATTTTTAATGTATAGAAAGTAATTTTTTTAAAAGTCAGGGACTTTTTTATTTTTTGACACAGGGTTTCTCTGTTTAGTCCTCAATGTACTGGAGCTTGCTATGTAGGCCAGACTGGCCTAAATTCACAGAGATCCTCCTGTCTCTGCCACTCGAATAAAATCTATTTTTCTTTGTCCTCTGTGTTTTGTTGCAATACTTATGTGGTTGGAAAGTCCTATATGTAGTCTTTGTAGTTATTTTTTAATCTAAATTTGTTTTTACCTATAGTGATTAACCCATCTGGAATTTATTTTGGCAAATAGTGTGAAGGAAGAAAATGTAACATTATTTTCTATCAATTAGCCTATTGTCTCACAAATATTCATGAAATCATACTTCCTTTTTATAATAGTGTGTTTATTAGATAGTAAATTCTTACATGTTCTGGAGTCTATTTCTGTGTTGTTGATGTTTCATTAGCTATGCCATACAGTTTTAAGAAAGTGTATTGTAAATTTATATTTTTAATAAATACAGGTAAAAACTCATACTATTCATTTTTCAAATTTATTTTCTGAATTTAGTAAGTCTACCTGCTAAGATTTTACTGAAATAAGCAATGCCTCTGCCCTTAACTGACAGAATAACCTGACTATTGGACTGTTCAAAGCCTTTGTTTCTTGACCTGTAATGTGAGAAAATATTTTTTAACTGACATCCAGTGTAGTTGTGAAGATGTGTTTAGTCAGGATTCTCTAAGGAGACATAACATTATTATATAAATATGAGTGGCTTACAGGCTACAGTCTAGTTAGTCCAACAGTGGCTGTCTCCTGATGAAAAGGCCAAGAATCCAGTAAGTAGTTGTTAAGTCCATGACTCTGAGTGTCTCAGCAGTTTCAATCTGGTGCTAGAGTCCCAGAAGATTCCTAAAGAGCTCCTGGTCTATGTTGGAATCTGAAGAAGTAGGTATTGATAACAGTGAAGGAATGCCTAAGCAACAGGATAGATGAACTCGCCAGTGAGAGTGAGGATAAACAGTCAAAAAGCAAGAACTTCCTTCTTCCATGTCCTTTTTTTGTAGGCTACCATCAGAAGGTGTAGCCCAGACTTAGGGCGAGTCTTCCTGCCCCCAAACAATACGATTAAGAAAATTTCTCACAGTCTTGTCCAACACCTTGAGTTTTAGGTTGGCCTCAAACTCCTAGAGATGTGCCTGCCTCTACCTCCTAAGTGCTGGGATTAAGGGTGTCCACCACTATGCTTAGCTCTTTGGTATGTGTACTATGTGGGTGGTGGGGCTGCTTCTGTTTGGAGTTTGGCATTGAACTTTCTTTCTTCCACAGAGCGCTTCGACCATCACTGCCCCTGGGTGGGAAATTGTGTTGGAAAGAGGAACTACCGCTACTTCTACCTCTTCATTCTTTCTCTCTCCCTCCTTACAATTTATGTCTTCGCCTTTAACATCGTCTACGTGGCCCTCAGTGAGTATACAGGGCAAAATCTGTCACTGGAGTGAGAGTGGTGTGGGGGAAAGGCTTGAGGGTAGCTTAGGGGAAGTTGGATTTCTGGTGGCCTTTTGCCACTAAGAAGACACCCAGGAGCAAACAGAAGCGAGCACCCATGTCTGTTCTTGAGCTGTAACACATCTCAGCTCACATTGGTTGACTAAGTATTCTGACCTTCTCTCTGGCCATCTGCTGGGGAGAATGGGCCCCTAATTCTTGAGCCTCATCCAGAGTATTGGGAGGTTCTGAAGTGATACAAAAGTTTGGGTATGTATTTGCCTCTACACATCATCTCATTCTGTGTTGCAAGATGTACCTTTGTTGTGGGTGGTTGAAGGGCTTTTACCTGTTAGTGGATCATGGTATACTCCAGAGTT